TTCTGGTTAGCAGTCAAATGCCTTAGGCACTGCACCACCAGAGCTCCTTATGGAAGCAGATAGCCAGGCCTTTTTTTCTGTGGTGGCGCTCTGTGGGTTGGAACCACCAACTTTCTCATTAGCAGCTAAGAGCAAACCACTAGCACCACCCAGGGGCCTTCCTGGCTGCTGCCAGCCACGCTCATTTCCAAGTGTGAGTTCGGGGCTCCCTGAGGGCCTGCTCAGCCTCTGTTGAGAAACTGTGCGAAGCCCCTTGGGCTCCACGCCAGCCGGGGAGCAGGAACCCTGGGCTGTCACTCTTCATAATCCCCCAGCAGGAGTGTCAGCCGGCTAAGGTCTCAGCCTGAGATGTCCTCGCCTGGATCCGGCCCGGTAGCCCCCCAGCGAGGCAGCCCTCCCCTGCCTGCGGTTCTTTTCGCGGGTGGCTGGGCTGCCAGTAGGTGGCTGTTTCCCGCAGTGAGTCACTCCCACACTGTCCCATTTTGGTGCAGTGGCACATTTCCATGATTAGAGTTTTCCAAGCTGGAGAGAGACTTCTCCTGAAGGGAAGGAACAAGGAATGCATCGAGGGGATCATTCACGTGCCTGAAGGATCTGTTCGCTTTCAAAGGTGCCTGAGCCCCTCTGGTCCCTCTTCTCTCCTCTGAACAGAGTCCCCGAGTCTCTCCCTTTGGGTCATCTCTCCTCCATTTCCCCCATTATATCACTCACACAGCTCTAGTAGCACTGTAGCACTGTGGGTATAGCATTGGGCTGCTAACCAAAAGGTCAGCGGTTCAAACTCACCAGCCAATCCACGGGAGACTCCTTCCATAAAGATTTACAGCCTTGGAAACTATGAGGCAGTTCTACCCTGTCCTATAGGGTCACTAGGAGTTGGAAAGGGCTCAATGGCAGTGGGTATTGAAATAGGACCAAACGCAGGTCCCTGCCTGATGTGCAGTTAGGCCAAAACAATTTACACACCGAGTGATTAAGAGGAGAGAAAATTATTTATTGCGAAGCGGCAATGCAAGGAGGCAGGGGTACCTGTACCCAGATCTGACTCCCCGAAACTCCATCGAATTACAGCTTTGTAGGTTTCAGAAGAGAGGGTTACGCATATTCATAAAAATTTCAGGAATTTGAGTGTGAGATGGTTGACGATTGGCTGAAATTTCCTTCACCTGGGTTTAAAGGGACAGTAGTGTGAGGATGACTTAAGGCACCTACTGATGAAGGTTGAAGAATACAGTCTGCAGTATGGATTACATCTCAACATAAAGAAAACAAAAATCCTCAC